CCTAAATGTGGTAAAATTGCCTCCATGCCCCCTAGAGGGCCAAAGGTAAATTTAAAGTGAAAAGCAAACAACAACATATAATTGAGGGAGCAGTGGCCTAACTCTGATTTAAATTGAAATGGCATAAAGCCAAAATATAGTGGAGATTCTTTTGAGCAGATGACTGTTCTCTGGCAGCACTTCATATAGGCAGTCTTATACACATATTGCTACCCAAAGTGAAGACCCAGAAAAACTCTAATTAAAGTGAGATGATATTCCCTTTTGATTGCCTGGATCACTCATGAGCCATAGGAACATTTCTGGTAACTGTCTTGAGGTGTTAAGAAGAAAAAAACCTCAGCGACAGACAGACAGACAGACAGACAGACAGACAGACAGACAGACAATCAGTCTCATGGTCCAGTGGTTAAACTACAATACTGCAGTGAAGACTCTACACCTAATCTGAATTCAGTCCCAATGGGCTCAGGTAGCTGGCTCAAGGTTGACTCAATTTTCCATCCTTTTTGGTAAATTGAGTTCCCAGCTCGCTAGGGTGAGGGTCAGGGCAATGTGTAGCTTGCATAATTAAATTGTAAAATGCCCAGAGACAGATTTAGGCACTACAGGGTCGTTTATAAGCAGCACACTTTATACATTTGAGTTAATTTACTTAGTGTCCCTATTGCATTCCTTTTTGTTTGAAAAATGGCAATTGAATCTTCAAGAAAAAAATGAAAAAAATATAAGACAACCTGATGAGATTGTGGATGCTTTTATGGGGAAGAAAGCAAAGAGGAAGATTGAGAAACAGCAATTCCAAAGAGGCACCAGCCGTCACAGTGGAGATCAGTCCATCTTGCGACTCCCCCCAACATAGATATTTGATTGCATCCAATGTTGCCAAATGATTTTATCCTCCAGCTGCACAATGCATCGCTCTCTTTCCCCCTCCCTGTTTGGTGTTTTACAACGTGCGACAGCTTAATTATTTAACACCACTGGGTTACACAAGTTGATGCACAGGTTTCTGAGGGACCGAGTGGGAGTGATGGATTGGCCAACTGACAGATGGAAATAAACAGCAGAAATTGGGGTGGGGGAGAGAAAGAGGATGTTCCCTCTTTTTTATGGCAAGTGTCAAAGGGACAGAGTGGAGAGGAAAGTTAAAAACCGGCTGCCTGCAAGTCTCAAAGCACTCTTGGGTACTCATGCCAATCCGCTCACTCCTTCCGCTCGCCTGTCATTTGCTCAGAAATCATGTGGCGCTTCTGAAAATGATCTTACGAAGCCAGGATCCTCAGAAGAACAGGGACATGTCACAGCAGAAGCCTCTTCGTACATAAATCCTGCCCTGCTTACAGGCGTAGATCTGTCGTTTGTTTTGAGATGGAAAAGACATTCATGGGGCTCCCATTTATTTCACCAGGAAAGCATTGACTTTGCCAG